GAGAATTCACCAGTTGCGTCGACTCTACTTAATCATCGAGGAACGTTCTATTGTTCAGATGGAATTTAAACAATTCGATGCAAATGACCTCCAAGACCACGCGCTGAGTGCAACGTTCCATCTATGATTCGATCATCGCAGGACCCTCCGTTCTTTTTACGTAGACAATTTCGAGGCGTGCAATTGCAGGGAAAGGAAGAAAATCGAATTCCCCGTCAGTTGGTCGTGCATGTCGCGCATGCATGCATGTAGTTGCACGCGTAGAAAATCGAGCAGGACGAGAGGAAAAGTTCGACTGACGCGAGAGAATTTTCCTGCTCGCGAGCGACGCTCGGATATTTGGAATAATAAAACGGGCGTCTGCGTTGGACGATCGTCCGTTCGTGCTTTGGATATTTGTTCGGATAGTGAAGCATCGCTTTTGATTTCCGCTACCGGTATATCTGATCTGGCCCTTCTTCTCGATTGAAAATATTTTACGATACCGGGAATAGTCTTCGGCGTTTCGAAATGGCCTGCATAAATTTCACCCATTTTGAAAGCTACCGCTTTGGTTAGAGTGTTGAGCGTGCAGTTTCGATCGAAATTAAATTTAGAGTAATTCTAGTAGTTTCGAGATTCTAATTAACGCATTCGATGCGGCGTGCCACAGATTCTATTAACAGTGCTCGATAATAATTTTCGTTTCAAAGCTAATTCCAATTGCAGTATATTCATTAGCAAAAATAAAGGAGATTCAACTATCAACTTTCTCGTAGAGAATTTCCTTGGAATTAGTTGATAATTCTATTTTATCGCGCGGTATAAATCCGCCCCGGTTTTCGGAGCAAATTAGCGAAGCTACCAATTTGTATAAAATCTCGGCGTAATTGGGCAACAAGTTTTAATCGCCAGTTAAACACGCCCTGGCTGAGACAACTGCGAAAGCATCGCTTTATACCGAAATCGCGAATGTTTCAAGGATATCTCAGTCGGTTGGCCATCGCATCGTTGAAAATGTAGAGATATATCTTATTCCTTGTGAGAATCGCGTATGGAGATCCTCTGCGAAGCTAGCTAAGAGCTTCGATATTCCGAAGGATTTCCAGAGCGAAACTTTTCGATTTATCATCTAACGCTCCTCGAGACGTTTGCATCGCATCGAGAAGCTACCGGAAACTTCGACGAGCGAATACATTTCGCGAGAATGGAAGGATTAAAAGTTCAAAGGACAAAGTTTCTTGCGATAGCGACCTACATTCCAGCTGAAATATTTCAACTGGCCCACTCTATAAACGTAATAAAATTCCTTTGATATCATAATTTTGTTTTAATATTAACGTAACGCGATTGACAGGTTCTTAATTTCACGAGGTCGGTTATTAAACGAGCAGTTTGTATAAAGATCAACAAACATGTTAATTATGTATACGCGCAATATTTTCGTTTCGGCAAATATTTCATTGTTTCAATGCAGGAATTTAATTTACCTTGATTGTCTCCAAATATCAACGATGAAGTGGTTGAATATTGTATTGAAAATTTAAAAATATTAATAATTATCAGGTGTGATGTTCGCGCGTCGCCGTATTTGAAAATTTCACGACATCGCTGCTGTGTCATTCTGTAGAAAAGAGAAAAAGAACGATAACGCTATAAACGCGCGACCGTTGTCGATTAAACGCGGAGCTGAAAATTCGGAACAATAGGCGGACAAAGTACAAAGCTTCCAGAACAATGTTCCAATAATCTCGCTAATTTTCGAAAGTGGCTACGTCAAAGGGTTAGCACGCATACGGGAAATTAATTTCCGCGTGAATCCTATCGGGATTTAAGCGCGACAGTGTTTCGAAGATTAACAAGAAACTTTTCTGCTTAAACTCGACGTTACCACGTTCGGAACTCGTGAATCTCAGGGGAGGGAACTTATTTGTACCCGAAGCGGTCGACGATGTATCGAAGTTCGATACGAGCGGTACAATCCGTTTCACGCGATGTTACGAAGCTCGTGCATTCGCTAATTAATATAACCAGATCATGGATGCGGTTGCTTATCCGGAGAAAATAAATTTCCGACAAATTAAATGATGTAAAAATGAAAAGAAACCACTGTCTCAGGGGAAATTATAAATAGAACGTAATACCTCGATCCACCCTAACTAGTTAATGGAAATAGTTAAACTTGCCTCGCCACTTTAATTTTCATATTGAACTCAGCGATGAAGAGACAGAGGCTTCCGATGAGAAATAAGATAGAAAATTCAGTGCGACTGAAACAATTACGTGGCAAGAAGAAACCGAGGTGTAGGTCTGTTGGAGTTGGAAGAAAATCCCGATGGGCAAGGGAACAAAGTCGTAAACAACGCGGTAAAATCTTGCAGCGTGGAAAAAGAAGAATAACGGGCGGGTCGTTCTTCTTCTAGAGGCGACGATGAAAACGGAAGGCGTCTTTAAATCGAGCCATTGGACGAAAGCAGAAGGGGATGGAAAGAGAAAACTGCGCGCGCAAAAATCAGATTTACCGAAGATATACATCTCTTTTGCAGCTTTTTCCCTCGGAAAGTCAAGCTCGGAAACGCTACGCCCCAGGAAGTTCTCGAGATTTCGCGGGAAACCCTGAGCCAGAGTTGCGTTTCGAAATTTCAAGATAGACTGGTCAAAGCACCGGTAGGTTAATGACATTACCAGTACGAGATATTCCTGAAATCATTCGACGGATCTCTCTGCTTCTGAAATTGCTACAGTATTAACACGGTGGCTGCCACCGTAAATGCACCAAGGGTTTGCTACGGCACTGAATTATACAGGTTATTTAAAATGTGAAGATTTATTTTTGTAATTTAATGGTTCCTTTTTGTCTACACGATTTCGTGAATACTATTTGACAATATGAGTTTCTTAACAAGATGGTGGACTATTTTCAAACACATTCAGACTTCTGAACTTTCTTTCGCTTTCAAGAGGCTAAAGTAGAAAACTTTTCCCTGAGCATATGGAACTGTCGAATTTTCTAGACTTCGAATACAGAGTCGCATTATTATTCCCACCTGCAAAATTATATTTCATTGCATTCAACGTGGGGAAAATATCGAATTAAATCGAGTTGAATGTATATGAATGTTGACGGTATACCTGGAGTTTCTATTTGCATGAAAGGTAGAGTCGTCGAAAAATTTTCCAAGCAAACGTATCCGGCATATCTTCCGGCGCGAGTTCGATCAAACAAGAACAAATTTCACGTCTTGCTTGGACGACTGAAACGAAGGAATAAATTCGATGCCAGACTATTTCGTTTTATTTGAAATTCCTCCCCGAGGAAGATGCACGTGTAGCAAATGTCGAGAGGGACGAAGAATATTTGTCGAATTTCAACGCGTCAACGTAGTTGCAGCTTCCTCCTTGAAACGTAACAGCCATCGAAGAAGCTCCGCTCGAAAACTATCGCACCTTCCTGGCGTTAATGCTTGCTAATTTTGCGAGTGCCAAGGGACAGGTAGCTCGGTTGCGAAACTCTCGACTGAATTTATACAATGTTCCACTAAGGATGCAAATTAATAGCCCCTTGGCGAAAGAAAATGACATATGAGCTTCCCTTTACGAATTAAATGAAAAAGCTTCGTGCAGCTACATACCTTTCTCTCTAAATTACGTTTCTACAATCCACATTCGACGTTTGAGTATTAAATTAATTTAAAAAATTTATACTTTAATAACTTTGTAGCAAGGCATTTGTATCCAATTTTTTCATAAAATATTCTTTTAATTTTGCTTGTACTTTGTTGAAAAAGAACCTAGGATACCGTGTATAATCTTTTCCACGTTCCGCTTTAAAATTTTAAAGGGAAACGCTTATAGCGTTACATGCGCGGCACATCCTTTTATGCCGGTATAATTGGTCCAGGGCGAGAAACACCGACAATTTCGTGATTTCGTGGTTCGGTGACGAGTTCGAGGATTCAAACAGCCTTCATTCCGAGGGGCGCAATAGCCTTTTCGACAAAAAAATCAAGCACGTAGATTCATGGCAAATTCAGTTACAAACCGAACGGGATTCGATTTCGTGTGTACGTCGACCGATATTAAATTGATAAAAATGGTTGTACGTTGATCACGACCAAGAAAAAAGAGTTACAGGCAGAAGGGACGTCGAAACGGGACAAAAAAGTAAACCCGTTAAATTTTCAGTTTTCGATTTTATCGCAAACCCCCAATGGGCAATTTCTTTTTCGAAAAGTTAAATAAAAAAATTCTTAGCTCGTCGCGAAATACATTTAAACGAATAGCGGCTATCGACGACAAAAATCTTGCAATTGAATTACTGGCGACATGTTTCGTCGAAATGAAATATTCATTTTGAGACAAATTGAGACGTGCGTATATCCTCGTATTGGCTGTTTCAATCTTGTTCGTTTATACGAAACTTTTGGCTCGTACTGTTTTCATTCGAGATCCAATGTAAATTTTAAATCAGTAGAAAATACAGTCGGTATGCGTTATATCGTTGTTTGTTCACTCGATGTTATTTATTCGAGTTTCTGGTATTATTTTGAAACAGGGAAACTAATTGTATTATTAAGGCTATTTAGAGGGGAGTTTTTAACCGGACAAATGCTCGGCGTTGAAAATGTAATGATAACCGAATAAGAGACTGTAACGCATAACAAACGCGATGTTTTTCGCATTTGGAGCGCAACCAGCTCGAGAGAGGTTAAATTCCTTTTTAATTACCTTGGCGCGTTGCAGTTTCCAAGGCATCGTTAAAAAGTCAAAGTTCCATTCAAACAGGCAGTATACTTAAGAATAAATTAACGAACAACGCAATTGTTGCTCGAAATGTGTTTGTTTCTGGCTCGAAAATCAGAGGATGGAGTTGAAACCCCGAACTAGACTCTTTGGTGTATTCAAAAGGGAGCTCTGAGGTTTCTGGAGGTAGCATCAAACGAAATATTAACACGTCACGGTTTATCGTGGGAACCGGGTGTTTGATAGCGGCATTACAGAATATCGTACGTGTGTTTCAGTCACTGGGACGGCCGCGGAAGCCACACGCGAGACGGAGTCACTGTGGAGCGTGTACGACGCGAAAAGGAGCAACCGTTCCATTCCCTGGTGGTCGTCCAGCACAGAACGCGCCACGGCAGAAAGCAAATCCGTCAGAAAGTTTCGCCAGACAACTAGCTGGCACGCAGACAGCTGGAGCTCGAGGGAACGAGTTACGTTGGAATTGGTAAGGCCGGTCACCGAGAGCCCGAACGACGACGAGGAAGAGGAGGAAATCGAAATGCCCGCCAATCTCGAGACGACGTCCAGAACGGAGAAGAAAGACGTGGGAACAATGAAAATATCGCATCGAAATTCGACCGTGTCCACCAGGAGCGCGCTGGACACAAGGCTGAAGATAAATTCATCCGCTGGTCGGACGTTTATCGAATCAACGTCGGAACGGTCGAGCTTCGACAAACGTGCTTTCTCCGACGACGTAAGTCGCATCAGATGCCATTGCCTACACTTTCTACTTCTGACTACCTTGATCAGTACGCCATCGGGGATATAGTCTCACGATTCCTCTCGCTATCGAATCCGGCGAACCCGATACCACATTAATAAAGTCCATATCCATATCCCGATAATCGAGCAGAAGCAAAAGGAAAACAGAAGAAGAATCGCGGAGCGAATCGTAGCAGATGTTAGCGTATTAACCCGGTAATAGTAGTAATATATTTCAGACCTGGCCAATAATTTCGTATGAGAACGATAACTATAATTCACGGGTATCACGATACCACCGGCTGCCCAAAGCCTCGTTGTACTTCCGTTTAATTAACGGTCTGACATCTGAGCATTAGAGGATTATTGTTCATCGATCGTATAAATTTTCAATAGCATCGAATTTAAATTAATACGAAACCCGTACCTTGATATAGATTAATTCGACAGAACTCCGGGAACCTTTCAACCGAATCGGATAAATTTCACGTTTCCTGGGTAAATTAATCGCGTGATTTTCAAATATGCGCAGATAGTGGCGACGCAGGTAGCTCGGTTTACCCCGAGCTCGATGAAAAATCAGAGCAATATCTCCACCACGTCGTCAACATTCTTCGACGTTGTACGACGCCAGATGAGACACGTTCCGGACGTGTGCGAAAAGTTCACCGTCGGAGAAGAGGGGAAGCAAGAATTTTACAGCCCCAACTATCCGGACAACTATCCGAACCTCACCGAGTGCATCAAAGTTCTGCAAGGTGAGTACGTTTTCTGATCCTGGCTTAAACGTGGCGACAAATTTCAAGGTAGCAGCATTTTATTAAATCAGAGATGCCTTATCAATATTAACTAAACCTTAGCCTTATCATCCTTAATTACGAGTACCTTTCCACGATATCGAAATGAAAGCGCGACGAGCCGGAAGAACGATAGACCGGATCGAATTCATTAGGAAAGCGTAAGACAAGAAATTAACTAGAAGCTAACTGGTAGACCTCGGATTTTGCATTGGATGTTCCGCTAGTTTCATATGTATAAGTCTGTCGTAACTAGCTCGCTGGAACTCGATTGAATTTCGAAATTGGAGGATGGTCACGCGATTCAATGATTAATTCGTTCTGGTGGTTTCGTAGATTTCAGCCAAACAGTCGATAAATTTTCCCGGACTTATCGATACAACGCATTCGTCGACGAACGGAAATAAAATCGCAAGTTTTTCCACGTCCATTCGCGTGGTAAACAGTCCTGAGCAGTGAATTTATAATAAACGAGCCGGTCGGACAAACGAGCGAGAGGAATCGATAGAGATTATTCGCGCAAAAGGAAACACATTACCCGTTCGTTGGAAGCGAACAAACAAAACGTGTAACGGGGATGCTTTTTCTCCGTTCTTGCACCCTGGAAATTGTCGGTGTCGCGAGGAAGAGTAATCGGATAAAACGTTGTCGAATACGGTTGCGATAAATCATAACGGGCCGCGGTCTTTTGACCTGACCGTGGTCGCGCGAACTCGATAACGAATCTATAAATCGTAGAGAAAGACCGGAAATTCATTGTCGAGCGTCGTGCGCCAGAATATTTCCTCGTCTTGAAAGTGTATGCGAAAACTTTCCCGAGGAATGATCGACTATTCATTGCTTTTACCTCGCGCGCCACTCGCGAGGAAACAAATGTACCGAACCACTTCGCGAAGAAACAGAAAGATTTTCTTCTTCCGGGATATTTTCTGCGAGTACACGCGAATCAACGCGATGCCAGATTAGCCTCCCCCGCGTTTCTTCGTCTCGATCGGTCGGAAGATAAATCGAAGATGCGAAACAGAGCGAAGCGACTCGTGCACCGCATCGAAAAGAGGTCCTCAGACGAAATATAAATTCTGCTTTGATTCTCTAAAGTCGCAATGCACTCAAAGCTTCTCGATCCTTATATTTTCCACTGGAAAAGTAGATACCTTTTTGGTTCTTCTCCATGAAAATTAAGAGGTCTTAACTACAATTACTGTCCCTTGTCGCAATTCTTTTTACTCCTATTTCTTATCAAACTTTTAAACTCTGTTTTTAATCTCGTTGGCTTAGAAATAATTAAACTTCAAATGCGCTAAGGACCGAGTGAAAATTTCGACTCGAGATCGATCGCGTTCCTTTTAGTCGTCTCGAAACGACTCGAAACGACTGGTCGGATTGGGCAAACGAGAGCAGCTGGGTCGTGTTCGAAATTGAGTCAGGGTCGACGAGCCTCGTGGACCGTGTACACCAAATCTTCTTCTGATGGTACCGAAATAGTATCCACGGTGATTGCTGGTCCTCGGCCGAGTTTTGGAAACGATAGGCTTCGTAAACGCGAGCGTGGCTCTTTGTGAAATCGTAAAATCTCGGCAAGTATTGCTCCGACGGGAAGAAACAATTGCTCGTTGAAAAATTCCTTCTGGACAGCGTTTTTTTAACGCGAGATATCGTAAATCGAAGATGCACGTTGGTAGCAGAAGCTGAATAAATTTTCGTGAACCCGCTTGTAAATCATGTGCACCGACGGATATCGAATGCGAACCGATCCGCTTTACTTCCTTTCCGAGCGTCTAACTGAGGTCACGTTATTGCCACGAAATTTACATGGATTACGACCACGAACAACCTAGTCGGTTAAACCGTTGTAACGTGCGCTGAATACAGAACGTAGGAATTTCCCTTTGATAATATTCTTTTCCACGGCTCGTCCTGGACGACCGATAAGCAGCGAGGAACTGCAACTGACTGTCGAGCGATAAGAAGGTACTCTGCAGTTCGCTTGAAACCGTTCGCTTAATGCTCCGCGAAAGGAAGGAAGACTGCGTCGTGCTGGTCGTAACGTAGGCGTGCTTCAAATTGTAACGTTCGGTTAAACGAGGAATATTTTAATTAAAGGATAACAAGCGGATTCTCGAGCGATTATCTGGAAAATTTTAGAATGCGAGAAACGGATTAAACAGGCTATTCGACAAGAGAGAGACGGTAAGTTGCGAAAGGGTTTTTCAAAAGAGCGCAGAGTACGAGATAAGCAGACAAAAATATTGAAAGATTTCAAAACGTTGAGAATCTTTGATTCGGATAACGAACTGTAACTAACGTCATTAAAATAACTTGTCTATCGGCATGTCAGACCTGCCATTATACGGTCCATGTAAATTACGACATCCAATTAACCGGACGTCAATACGGGTCTGCCATGGATTAAGGAAGTTTCACCGTGAACAGACGGGATCGAGCCGGGTCTAGGTGCATAGAGTTGTTTCAAATTGCACCATCTAGAGTTAAGGGGGTATTCCAATATAGAAGTTTCAAAAAAGAAAAGATTCCTTTTTTTACATTTTTTCAAAGAACACAGTTTTAAAATGACCCGTTCAAATAAGAATACCTCCTTAAATAACCTCTGGGTACTTAGCGGTGTACTCCGTCAAGTCGTTCTTTGTTATTTCAAGCACTCTTCTTAGTTCGCCATGATTTCTTACGCGTCCAACCGAACTCGTTAAACTTGCCGTCCAGTTACCGGTTGACACACGATGGATCATTGAAACTTTTCGAGGATCGTCGAGCGACAGAGGAACGGTCAGTGTTCCAATCGGGTTTCCAGCAGTGCCTTTGCAAACGACGAGAGGAGCAGGCTCGATCAAAGTTTAATTGGAACAATTCGAAGGTAGCCAACGCGCAAAGACGAAATCGTTTGAAAGCAGAGAGAGATATGAGGGTGGGATCTATCCGTTGGTATTTCACCGAAAATTGCCAGCGAGTTGATGAACGATCGAACCAGGAGACTACTCGATTCTACGCTTGATATAACAGAGATAACATTCAGTGTCGCGTCGAAATTGCTACTCTCTATGCATTCGCGATGCACCAGCGAATTTATACGGGCCACCGTTGGAAAACACAGGAATATGAATGCAGATATGGTTTCTAGCCAGCCTCGATCATCGAGTTACGTGAACATCCAGGAATCTTTGAAGTTCGTTTCATTGTTACTCGATGCCGAGAGCATCTGCTACTTCGGCAGGGTACATCTTAGCAGGCCCGTTTCAAGAAGAATTCCAACAGTTGCGCGCAAGAGGACTGCATCAAACCCGAAAGCACGATAACGTACATCGAGTTCGAAAGATCGTTCGGCCGTAAACGACAGATTCTCTCGGGTCGTCGGCGAGTTCCTCGAAAGCCTGGAAACTGGAACAGAAGTCGATTCAATGGATACGCGCTGCTATATAACGCAGACACGACACGCTATCTGTATCTTCCTTTTTTCCTCTTTCCTCTACACGATTCTTTCCTTTCCGACTCGTACTCCTGATGGAAGAACACGCAAGCGGGCCAAGTAGCCCTTCCGGACGGAAGGTCCTAATTGCACGGATGGAACCTTTTTAATTGCTCGCTCGCGAACACGGTAACGCGGTTACACCGGTATCATTATGAAATGTGGGACACCTTTAAGCAGCCGAAACCACTCGGGCAAGTTAATGAGATCACAGTCGGTTGGAGACCGAATAATTCGTCGGATGAAACGCGATCGAACCTTTTCCATCGCCCTGAGATTCTGCACCCCCTCGCCACCCTTTCCTCAGGGAACGGGGCAACGGAACTCGAGGAACAGCCGTTCGTTAAACGGGTACGCTTCATCTCCCTCGAGGTACAAGGGCGAATGTTAACGAGACCAAAGTACGTAACTTCTTTTCTAATTACTCTGAAAATCACGCTTACACTGCAGTCGACGAGGAAAATTATTCGTAAATATAAATTAACAGGATTGTTCTCGGTGGATTATCGAACCACTTTGAAACAAAGACGCGATTCTATTCGCACCGTGAAATAGTAAATCCCATCAAACAGTAAAAGGTTCACGTTGCAATTGATTGAGTTACGAAGTGGAATCAATGTGTACGATCTCTCGCTAATAGCACTTAGTTGAAACGGAACGCGCACCGTTTAAGGTTTAAATGTCAGTCAGGTTTAAAAGAGAAACGAGGAAAGTTAGTAGTCGTCGAATCCAATTGAAAAGTTCGTACACGATGGTAGAACGGACCGGTTGTCCACTAATCGTACGTTCTCAAACTTTTTCACCAACAAGGACGATGTCTTTTGCTGCTTCCTCAGCCGTTCTTCTTGGCTGTCTCGTTACCTGTAACCACCCATTCACCAGCACCGTTGCTGGCTACAATTTAAAGCGTGTCGGCTTTCTTACCTGTGCCAAGTTTCGCGTTTCACCCTACGGGGCACAAGTTTGCGATAAAAACTTTGTCCCCCGGCGTACAATATGACGACGCGTTCCTTCATCATCTCCCATGATTGCTTTTTTTTTTTCTTTCTCATCGTTATAAATGTTAGCATAGAAGGTTTCTCTTCGCTCGAAAGCCACCATTCTTTCTCATATATTTTATTCCGAGTCGAAATCGAGTGGTGCAATCGTTTGGCGCCCCAGCATCACCCATGACGTTTCGAAAGGGTGGCGAACGATGAAGAAGAAAAAGAAAAGGGTAGCGACAGAAAGGTCGAGAGGAAAGGTTGCGCTGAAGCATCGTAAATGGGAGGAAGTCGTGGCCAAGTTCCAAAGTGGGCGAGCAAATCAAGTTATCAACCACTCAGGAGGTAAGGGGCCATCAAAGAACCGTTTAATGCGATCCCACGTAAATCAAGGGCGACCGCCCCTCTGCCTTCTCCGTGTTTCGTGGAACATCGAAATACTCTAAGGCCGAGACTCTCTGCAAGGGAAGCCATTAATTGCGGCAAGACACTGCGCT